TGAAGGAAAAAGCAGCAGCGTATCCTGCGTCGACAGTTGCGAGGCACCCGTTCCGGAGCCTGCATCGTGCCCCGCACTTCTGTTGCAAGGCGCAGCTGTCCCAAATCAATGGCCCACAGCTGTCTCAGCTGGTTTGAGCCATGAAGAGCGTGAATGCTCTGAATCTTTCAATGTCCAAATCGTCAACCTCTGATGCAAAGCCAGGTTCACCTCTTACACACAACGACGGTGATTATCATGCTGCCAATCTTTTTGCATTGCTGAGGCAACACAAAGAATTGGTTTGAGAGCAACTTCTAAAGTGTGCTCTGCGAAGGACTCGCCGCCAGCAACTACCAGGCTTGTGAAAGCTGGTGAGCTTTGCTCTCTTTGTTGAAAAACCAGAAATCTCGTTTGATCTCTTTTGCCTTCGAAAACTAGTTGGATCTGTTTGTTCGAAGCAGTTTAGACTTCAAGCCCTGAAGACTTTGTCTTCTGGTTTCGAGAGCGGAGCCCTGGCGGCTCATCGAAGACCTTGCGAAAGTATTTGGCGTTGGGTGGAGTTGGTTCATCGTCTTTAAAAAATCAACGGAGGGTGTCTCCAACTCCTTTATTTAATAGCAATGGCCTCCAACCTAATAGCGATGGCCTCCAACTCCTTTAAGAGAAAAATTGAAAACACACATGTGAGCAAAGAAGAGGTCTCCCGTCTGCGCCAAAACAAGCCACTACGAATCCCGGCCTGCTTTTAAAAGACCAGGCGGCTATGCAGAGAGGCCGCGAACGGCCAAAACTCGCCTTGGGAAAGGTGATAAAGACTCACCCCGAACAACTGTCGGAAGTGCAACGCATGCAGGTCTTGCAGGTCTCAGAAAGTAGACGGAAAAAACTGCTTGTGACAATTGCCAAACAACACATGGTCAGTGTGTATATATAGGAGCAAGAAGCTACTAGGAGCAAAGGGCATCGCTACTAGGAGCAAGGACGCTACTAGGGGCTCCTGGCCTTACTACTAGGAGCAAGGACGCTATTTGTTATGACAATACCACTACACTCCGTCAAGCCTCTGTGGAAAGCTGTCAACTGAGATCCCTTGCTTCAGCACGTCTCCGAAAATGTTGTCAGGTGTCGACCTTCGCGCCACGAATCCAAAAATGGGGAATGATGGGGGGTATCCTCCATGTTTTTCCATTCAAAACTCAATGGTTCCATGGCAAATGGAACGAGTTGAACAAATCCCATCATGGACCGCATGGCCTTTTTCAGCCCTCGTTTTTTGGAGCATCTTCGGACCCAACGCTCCAGAGGTGATGCCGATGGTCACAGGTCCATCTGGAAGGAAGCCCTCAGTGACCTGGGGATGTACGAATTGCTCGGAGGAATCAAGAATGGAAATGTCGACCTGTCAGGCACCATCCATCTCAATTCCAAGAATACTCTCGAGAACATTGCCAAAAGCTCAACAGGCTCAACACACATCTTTTTGTATGATTGTTGCCTACCGCGCCTCAAGGCCCTCGTCCAGCATAGCTTTCGCGGGTGGTGTGTCCAACGGCTTATGCTGGCGACAGGTGACGGTTCACCAAGAGGTCAGTCATCTTGATCCAACATTGGTTGTGGAAATCTCACAACGGCTGCTGCATAAATGTTTTTACTCAGCAAATCGGGACGCGATCCGAATGGGGTTTCGTTTGGATGGGCCAATTCGGTTGTCAATGTTGAACCACATCGTCATATCCCAATCTACTGACCAGCTCAGGCTCAAATGAAGCACCACGTAAATAGCCGCAGAACCCAAAGCACAGGATGGAAAGCCCTTCTATGTTGAGGTGCCTAATCCAAAAGCCTGACAAATCAAATCAGCTTTCTCAGCAGCGGTTGTGAGATTTGCGTGTCAATAGAGTGCTGCTTGCATGTCTTCTTTTCTGATCTTTCTGAAGATGACTTTGGCCAGAAAACCTTCCGTCACAAGAAATTGCCTTGTCAGAAGGACTGTCAACCAACCTCTGTGCCCTCTCCTAAGAAACAAAGAAAATAGTTGCTTCTTGTTACTAGTAGTAATGACAGGAGCTACTAGTAGCGTCCTTGCTCCTAGTAGCGATGCCGATGCCCTTTGTTACTAGTAGCTTCTTGTTACTAGTAGTATGCAGAGTATGCACTTGAATTCACAACTCCAACTCTTTCCTCTATTTCCCGTTTTCAGCCCGTGTGCTTCGCCTGGATGCAGTTGGTTGCATCTCCACCAGGGACACCAATGCGTTCCGCACAATCAATGTGGTACCTCCACATAAAGAGAGCCGGAAGGCTTGGTCAAACGCAATGGACCCAGCAAGCACAAATTCATGGGTCCATCGTCCATCTGCCGAAAACCCAGTGCAAAAAGGAGCCGCTCAGCTTGCCACCCTTTGATGCCCTCTTCTTCTGCAATCTCCAGCAAGTGAGTCTGAGACAGCGTTGGGCTGTTCGGCCAGCTGACCCTACGCGACATGCGACATGCTTCATCTCGGATTCAGGCTGTGTTGGAGGAGTTGAATCCACCCAGCACCAAACACCTGAAATCGTTGTCACAGTTTGACTCACATTGATTGAAAAGTGGAGAGAACTTCTCCACAATTGATCCAATCACATTCACCCCACCGCTTAGGCACCTACATATGAACCTAGGAGGTAGGCTAGATGCTACTAGGAACTGGGACGCAGAAGAGGTCAGGCTTCTTCAAGGGAACCCCTCGCACTATTGACTTGTTTCCTAGATTTCGGAGGAAAATAGAACACTCCGCAAAATACGTCTCCTCATCAGAAGAGCCCAAACATATATGTCGCCAAATCGAGCCACCAAGCTTTCATGACTCCCAGTCCAAATTTCTGACCCTTCATGCTAGCTTGGAAGAGATCCCATTGATCTACCAAGGACAGATCAATCAACCCTGGTCTCCGTCTTCGTCTTGGCAATCGCAGAAGAAAAGCGATGGAAGAATGCGGTGTGCAAACCTGCAAACTTCTGGGACCCGCACACATCGATCCTGGGCTTCCAAAGTTGAACCGCAGTTGAGAGTGGTATCTGATACTGCAAATCCAGCAATGGTCAGCCTGTAGTTAGTTCCGGAACCTGTCAAGCCGGAACCACGCAGAAATTGGGACTTTCGATATGTCCTTACCAACCTTGGTGTGTCGTATCGTGATCTATATAATGCCCCATGTCCAAAAACTACCTTAAAGGTGGTTCGGCTCTTCGCTTCGCTCCACATCGCTCGTGCCCACGTTCAGCTCAAGAGTCTTTGCTGCATCTTGAACCGCTTCCCCACCTCAGTCGTGGAACTTTGGAAGCTGTCTCTGGTCGAGCCATCAGGCAAGTCAATATTTTGGGCCATGTCTAAGATATTCCCACGAGGGAGAACCCTGTTCAACTACGTATGCAATAGATCTTTATATATCAGTGATACAGGTTGCAGTGCAGAAATTCCATCTGGACAAAGGGATTTCCTCACTAAGGTTCAATGCAGCGACGTCGCCATGCGTGCTACAAACCATGTGACTGTGACGCCCAAATCACGGGAAGATTCTTCATCCTTCTTCCTGTTCAAAGCCACTAAGTGTGCTTAGTAACAAGAAGTTACTAGGGGCTCCTGGCATCGCTACTAGGAGCAAGGACGCTACTAGGGGCTCCTGGCCGTACTACTAGGAGCAAGTATCTACTAGTAACAAGAATAGATTTAAACTTGCTGCATCTTGTTGCTCGTTCCCCCATCCAAAACCCTCAGGTCGTGGCCACCCTTGGAGTCGGCCTCCATCTTTCGAGACCTCGGGCGGCGCAGTCTGGCGCTTGAGGCACTCACTGAACCTAAAGTTCTGCCGTTGTTGCAGTTCAGTTTGCCTACTGCAATGGCGTCCAAGATTGGAAACTAATAATGGCGTCATATGGCGTCCACATCGTGCTTTTTCTCTGCTGATGATCATTTTAAAAGCTATGTACATGAATCGTTGAAGGCTTCACAGCCGCTCCAGCTGCTTGCACTCAAATATACAAGCGAGACCACATGATGCCAGGCATTCTTTCACCTGAATCTAGTCATCCCTCCACTGTTCAGTCTTCATCAAGCTTCCTTTTGCTGCTGTCTGCCTCTGTCTTCTTGCCTTCAGCCACCAATAAGTGGGTCAAGTCACTAGTGGGTCATATAAACACAAGTCACATTGCAAAGTAACAAAGGGCATCCCTACTAGGAGCAAGGATGTACTAGTAGCTCCTGGCATTACTACTAGTAACAAAAAGATACTATGTAGATATATTGACTAAGCTTTCTTGGCGGTGAGAACATCCCAAAAGGCACGCCTCCGCTGGCTTCCGCATTCGGCCTCAAAGCGCGTAAGGTCTTCAAAAGGGAATGGAAGACCCAAGAGTAGCTGCAAACTTTTCTTGCTCCTAGTAGCGATGCCCTTTGTTACTAGTAGCTTCTTGTTACTAGTAGTAATGCACTTG